GCCCCCCCCCCCCTCCGTGCTTGGGGCCCGGACCTTAAAACTGGTACCAGGGCCCGAGATGGGATGTGGCGGGCCTGCCTACATCAACTGGTATAAGTCCAACTATGTATCTCGGTTTGCGACTTTGCAGACTTCTTGCCTTCTAGGGCCGGATTTAGCGCCATGGGCCGCGGCTCATGGCGGCAAATTTTGAATTTTTTTTTCAAATGCAGGTATTTAAAAAATCGGATTCAGAAAAACAAAATACAAACGAGAAAATGTCACAAAGTCTCTCATTTCCTGAGAGTAGAGGTATTGTAATTTCTAATTTGTCGTCTTGCGGTGATACAAGAAACAACACCTTTAATTAGTCGAGTTAAGAGAGATACCAGGGTGGAGGAGGAGATCAGAAGGTGCCAATTGCCTGATGATCTCTGGGAGGATAGGGGGCAATGGCGATTGGGCGTCGCAGAGCGCGAGGCGGCGCTATAATCGCGACTTTATGTATGTATGTGTGTAAGAGAGATACCAAACAAGCAATTTGGCCTAAAACGGCGGCGCGGCGTAGAGGGCAATGATGACGAGGACTTGAGATGAAAAGGAGCGATAAGTCCTCGGTGCGGCGGTCGGCATGTAACAGTAACACATATTAGCGCCTACAAGACTGCATGAATACTTCACGCATTGCGCCAAATACAGTGTGGTCAGCGCGGCGGAGGTTGAGATGATTAAACCATATTTATGTTTGTTCTTTCATAATTTTTTCGTACATTTCTTATAAATGGGAGGCGTTGTCCAGAGATAGGTTCACGGAACTTAACTTTCGCGCAAAGTTCCGTGAACTTTTGCTAGTAGTGTTGACAGGGCTTCAACAAAAATGTGCCCAACACAAGTAAGCGCGTTTTATGCACCCCTCTCCCTCCGGCACGTTCACTTGATGACTTGATGGTTTTTACTGATGAATCAAAACGAATGAGAAGGAGGCGGCAAAATACAGGCGGCCCATGGGCGGCAAGTAGGTAATCCGGCCCTGTGCCTTACACTTTTTTTTTAAATGGGAAACTACTCAGCGGCATTCTGGCAATTCTTAAAAACTGACGTGATTTTTTTTTTTTTTTTTTTTTTTTTTTTTTTTCTGTGCGAAGCAAATTCTGCGAAAACTTCAAGGAATTATGCCGATTTGTTCTCCTTTAAAAAAATAAAATAGGAGCGGAGATTCTCAAACACACGCAACACGGACATCCATCGAGCACAAATAGTTGTATCTCTGCGCCGTCATCAACGCGCTTTCCCTTCATATTTATAAGTATTGAACGAAAAAATTATGAAAGAACAAACATAAATGTGGTTTAATAATTTTAACTTCTGCCGCTGCGCTGACCGCACTGTGTGTGGCGCAATGCGTGAAGTATTCCTACGGTCTTGTAGGCGCTACGCATTTCTCGCCGACCGCTGCTGACCGCACTGTGTTTGACGCAATGCGTGAAGTATTCATGGAGTCTTGTAGGCACTAATGTGTGTTACATGCCGACCGCCGCGCCGCGCCGCGCCGCGCCGAGGGCTTCTCCTTTTCATCTCCTTCATCATATTGCTCTCTGCGCCGCTCCGTTCCAAGCCAAATTGCGTTTTGGGTTTCTCTCCTAACTCGACTAATTAAATGTGCTGTCTCTTGTATATCACCGAAAGACGACAAAATTCGAAATTACTATACTCTTAGGAAATGAGAAATTTTGTCGCCTTTTCTCGTTTAAATTTTTTTTTCTGAATCCGATTTTTTTTACACATACAGTTTTTTTTCTGTTGTTTAATGGCTTTGTGACTAAGCACCTGCAGCCAAGCACATACAACTAAACAATTGCAGAATTTACCGCCCCCTTTTGCCGCCAAGGACCGCGGCGCACGGCCCACGTGGCCACCCCCTAGATCTGGCCCTGGTGGCCAAATCAATAATCATTTGGACGTATTTATGCTAAATGGAACTATGAGCAAGTGGAAAGATGGGGTGTGCCCGTGGAAGCTGGATAAGAAACAACGCAAACGTGGATATAGTTCCTTTTGAGAAAATGGAAAAGCGGGATTTGACATTAAATCAAAAGGAACTAAGCGCTAACTCGTGAGCCGTGGACATGCGACAAGCGCCTTGTGCACAGGGCTCATGAGTTAATGCGGACGCACGCGGACGGGGGCGACCGAGGCGGGCGGCTTCGTCGACGCTGACGTCACTGGCGCTTTATATTTCTCATTCATTCTTATGGCCCGATCACTAACGAGCACACCCAATCTTTCCACTTGCAGATAGTTCCTTTTAGCATAAATACGTCCAATTGGGGAGAAAAAGCGCTGTCAAAGGCGCACGTCTAAAAACTGGTATGTTGGCGAGAGTTGCGTCGTGTCAGGGATTTATTTTTGAGAACTTCTCTTAGAAATCCCAAAGCGGGTCAAATTGCCTCGACTCTTTCCCTTGGGGCAGTTACAGAACTTACAGACCCATGGCCAAAGTGCGAAACCACGTATCTCCTTTTGCGACATTGCAGACATCCTGTCATACTTCCTTGTTCCCGTGGGAAAAATAGTCAACGTAACTTCTCGGAAACTTGGTGATTTTTCTTCTCCACCGATGGAATATTCTGTGAAAATTTCAAGTCATGAAGTCATGAGGTTGATTTGTTTCTCCTCAAAAAGATAAAGTAGGGGCAAACATTTTGAAACACCGCAATGAGGAAACGTGGGTTTGCACTCTAGCCATGGAGCGGCATGCTTCGACCCATGCACCCATCCCAAAAATGTCATAAATAATTTAAGGCGAACTTAGATGAAAAACATCAACCTTTTCACCAATTAGGGACATTTGCAGGATCCTTTAGAATGATATACTAATCTTAGCCGTCATCATCTGCTACTATGGCTGTGACGTCACCTTATCGGTTTGTATACTGGAGCCACGCGCGACTCTCA